AGAGCCCCAACAAGAAGCACAACAAGTAAAACAAAATGAAGCTTTGAACAAGCATTCCCGAGGCTCTGAGTCAGGCGACAATATAAGCATTGGGGATTCAACGTCAAAAAATGTATGCTTCTTTCACAGTATCTTGTCTGTACACCACATCACTTGAAGAAAGCTAGAAACGCTTACACTAAGCAAAAACCTTTGTAATTTAAACTTAAGATCAAGTTTATCATATCCCAATTATTACGATTTAAAAGCACTAGCAAGAATAAGTCTTTTTAAAAATATATCACAGCGACTTTCTCAATAAGCCTTTTCAAAGTTAATCTTTGAAATGTCCGTTGCCAAATCAAAAGTTGTGTGATAATTTTACGTTATTTTCTTGAGCACTAATTCTTTGAAAAATAAGCCTAAAATCATACGGCGTTAAAACAGTATAAATTATTCACTGACGTATAAAAATTAAAATTATAAAGCACAAATGTACTTTGGCGCTTTTTGATACATTATAGCTCTTTCGCCAATTTCTAGCGGCTTCAAAAACTGTTCAAAAGCTGTAGTTGCATTCAACTGCATAAGCATCACCTTAGTCAATAAAAACTTAAAAACTTCTCGACCAGTTGACTTCAGCAATAGTGAATGAGCAAAAGTAGAAAAAGAAATTCTTAGTAGAACGGAATAAGTAGTAAATTGATTAGCAAAACTGGATCTAAATTGAGCACGAGAAGAATATTATGGCGTTGCTACCACCACTGGTTTCTGAATCCTGACTACTGTCATTTACATCGACTTTTGGAATTGTGTAACTGTTCAGCAAAAACCTTACAATGTGCAATCCTTAGAAGAGGACCTGTCAGTGTTTGGTATTGGAGGATCATGCCCAGATCTATTCGATTTACTGGTAAATAAAGTTTGATCTTTGAGTAATCTGCAGATTACTCGCCTGCTTTGCTTATGTTAGTAATTTTCCAAACATATTAATATATGTGATAATTAATGCGATATCGGTTTAGAGGAATACAAACGAGCAGTGGGGCAACCTGGAAAGCACACAAACTGGTAATTGTTGAAAGGACTTGTGGCCATCTTCAGAGTTTTTAAAACTGTTTGTTGACTTTAATCTGTGGTAGTAAAATGACATAGAGATACATTACTTTTAGTTTTAGGGACCGTTAAGACTCCATCGTCTTCAAATGCGAACAATTTTGTGGAGTTACAGGGTACTACAGGCGCTCTTGTGCAACAAACAAGTGACCATCAAATTCAAAAACATCGCATTGCAGTTGTACGTTTTACAATTAACCCGTGAAGTGTTCAAAGCTTCTGTAATTCTTATGCAACAAAGTTTTTAGCAAAGTCGGAATTATAAAGCACCAGCAAAGGCATGCGTGCAAATGGCAACTTTTAATCCCGAATATAACACAACATCAAGTAAGATCGTTTCGAACAAAAACAAGGTATACATATGTCGCCTATCAAGCAGTAAAGCTTTCTTATATGACAGTTTTTGGTATAATGACTTTCTAGAAATGGTAATTAACATTTTTTCGTAAAAAGGAAATTTCTTAGTTCTAAAAATGTTTATAACCACCATTCTTAACCTGCAACATTGATCATTGGATTCTCAGAATTTTACAAAAACACTTGATTTATCCTTTTTTTTTTTTTCAGGAGGGTTTTGTACAAGACTGCTTTGAAGGTGTTAACGTAAGGCTCAATAATTTTGATAACTGTGAGGTAAAGAAATCTTTCTTGAAAAGCAGGATTAGTAAGTAAACAGTTCAAATGAAACAATTCAATAGGGGATTTAAATTTGAGAAAACAAGAAATTTTTCACTGCGAAAAAGAAGAGCTATTGCATTGCCTCTGAAGTATTACCCGTTCTGTAATGGTCTTTTCTCTTCCTTCTTATATAAGCTGTCGTTAAAGTAAAAGTATGACTGCTTTTAGGAACTGACCTTATCTGATACAGAGGAGGTGTCACCGCCGCGGCTGAAACAATTCCCATGGTTTTTAGACAAGACCTTTGGCCAGTACACAAGTTTAAATCGTCCTGAAAGAGTTTGCTGCGATATTATGTAGCTGTAGTCATTATAGAAAATGACTTCACTTCTAAACCTATGTATCTTTAAACTGACCTACCAAACTCGTCGTTTTGCTACCTACTCAAATAAATAATAACAAATTGGTTAATAATCACACCATATACAGCCTTTCTGCCAAAGCTGTTCAAAGTGAGAACTTGAGCAATAAAGATGAAAAAGAAGTGACTATAGAAGGCAGAAAAGAAGGTCAAAAAAGTAGCTTTTTTAAAATTCTTCATAAAAATTAAAATACTAACTAGGTTTTTTTAAAGTCTGTTTAATAAAGTCTAAAGTGCATTTAAAAGTAAATCTTTGTTAGATGGACTTAATATTTCAATAAAAACGTAGTTAATAAAGAGGGGGTTCGTGTGTGCTACATCCCAACCTGTTTGTGAGCGCGTCATTCAAGAGATAAGTTCAGGCGTTAAAAAGAAATTTGCTTTAAATTGCGCACGTATTGCCTCGCTGGATCAGATGTACAACTTTCTTCCAGTAAGCACAGGGCTGCTAGCCTAAAACTGACTAGAAAAGCGTTAATATTGTTGGTAGTAATACTACAGAGCTTTTTCTGACGAACAGATGATGAGGTGGAGGAAAAGAGAGTAATTAGTGACTACCAAACTCAACTGCTGCAAACCGTCGAATAAAAAAGTTTGTTTCATAGAAAGGCATCATTTCATCTTAGTGACTTTATTGAAAAGTTTATTAAAACTGGTTTTTTTTTCTGATTTTTATGACTCTGGTTTTGTTTGTTTTGAATATTTGCTTTTTTGTTCTTTGTGCAACATTCAGGACCGTTACCTGTAAATTCAAGTGTTCATATACAAAGCATAAACGAAAAATGATGCTGAGATAACTTTCTACTGCTTCGAATAAAGTTTTAGAAAAGATATGGTAAACTTTGCAAAGACGTCGCAAAAAAGTGCCATTTTACAAAAAAATTTCCTCTCGCGCAACTTTTTAATTTTTTATGACTATTTAAAATATTCCAAACAGGTTATCACCAAACTTTTCTTCTTATAGTTCACCTAAAGCTTGCTCAGTTAATAGTATAAGCAAACAGATAAAAAATGACAGTATACATTAAATACGGTCTGTATCTACTGAATGGTATCGTAATGATCCTTCTTTCGTAACTGCTCAAATTACTAGAATTGCTAAGAACTAGTCTATCAAACGACGTTAGTCTCGAGTAGCTTACCTTAAAAACTTTGACTTTATCCCGGCATAATTAGATGCTGTAATTATCCACTTACAAATTAAAACTTTGCTCTACTCGTCACCTTTTCAAACCTCTTCACAAATTCCGCAGCGTTCATCTGCTTTTTAATGAAAGTATTCGTATGTTAGCTTCTATACAACAGTAAGACAAGTTTTTGACGATTTAGATATTGTCCATTTATTTTTCCTGATCTTCATTGAGGTAAATGCGCCAGTGCTAAATGTTTACCTACAACCTCGTCAAAGTCCTAAGTTCAGTTCCTAATCTAGTTAGCGAGAAACACATACTAAGGCAACTGCAGATGTCTATGACCCCTACAACAGCCACAAAAAACGACGCATGAAAACTTTGAAACCGCCGTCTTTCTAAAAATTGCTTCTCTGTCTCAGTTTCTGGTATGAAAGTTATCAGCAGCTTTCTCAGTCAGCCAGCCAGTTATTCGACTTTATAATTATAATTTAGATTCAGGTAAATGTTGCTATGCCTATATATATATATGGGCCATTCCACGCCAAATCGCACAA